CTTAACACTAAAAGATAGCATAGTAAGCATAGAAATTCACACATTTTGTTTGCATGCCATGGTTATTTATAACAATTGGATATGGAGAGTATTTGTAGATCTCAAGAAATTTAAACTTTCTCATCAATGCATTCCACGTAATAATATGGTCCTAAAATGTTATAGAAAAAAAGGAAAAGATGGCATGACTTTAACCATACCATTTAAAAATAGACATCAATTGAAGATTGAGAGAGTATTTCAAGATTTCAAGAAATTATTTGAACTTTCTCAACAATGCATTCCACATTGCAACTTTGTTGTAAAATGATATGGAAACAAAAAAGTTGACTCGTATGATTTTCTCTAAGGTTTTCAGTTGGTCATCAAACTCAAACTATAAAGGAAAAACGTAACCTTTTTTGTATCAGGTAGAATTCCTTCATGGTCCAACGGTTTTGAGACATCTGATTAAAGGAGGTTCCATGTAGGTTGTCAACCCAACATAACCCTCTTTCTTATATATATATATATATATATATATATATAACTATAAGTTCATTAATATAATTCTACAAAAAATAATGAAAGATAATATCATCCATTCCATAATATACCCATCTTTATTTTTTCTTCCATCAAAAACACAAAAGATACGACTGCAACCATGCAACTAGCCATGAACTAGTGATAAGTTAGTGGGGGCAATTGTCCCCACTATTTTTTATTTATTTTTAGTATTATACTCTACTAATTTCTTCATTTTGATATATACACTTATAAAATTCCACTATTGCTCCCTTTGAAATTATTAAAAAAAATTCACTATTGCCCCCTCATATAATTTTCTCGGTATGTTCCTAGATGTAATGGCTAGCACTATGCATGAATGCATTAAGTGTTGAGGATAAATTAACTTCCTCCAACCCACTCAACGGTCGGCTATTGTTGAGAGTTAAATTCCTCCTTCATCACACATAGTGGAAGCATCATCACATCACATCAACACAAGCATGTATGGAGATAACAATCAAACACATCTATGCATAACACAATATTTTACATGGTTCACCCAACTCTAGGGATACGTCCATAGGAGAGAGAGATTTCACTATTATGTATCAAGGAAAAGAATATACAACCACATGTCAAAACCACACTCACTCACTCATCATTTATTTTGAGGCTACATGTATACACTCGAGAATTTCATATACTTTCACATCTCCTACAACACTGATCACCTTTAAACTACTTACATCTTTTCTCTCTAAACCTCTCATATCCATCTCAATTTATAAAGTCTTCAAAACCCAATTTCTTATTGGACAAGTATTTCCTAACTTGCCTACAAGAAGTTATCATATCCGTCTTTAACTCTAAAATAGCATGTACAACCTTTTTCCCAAATTTTTAGCTTTCTTTCCAAGTCTTCTGGCTTCCAAAACTGATTAGGAAACTATTTCTTGCAACTTCTATTAACTCACTATCCAAGATGAACCGATTCAGCCCCATCTGAACCGATTCAACTTTGGCAGTAGCCAAAAGTTAATGCCACACTTGAACTGGTTCAGCCCCAATTGAACAAGTTCAACTTTGGGAGTAGCCAAAATCAAGACACCAAAATTTACAAATTTGACCCTACCAGATATTCCACGTGATCAGACCATGTCTTCATGTGCTCCTCCATTGCTCCACCTCGAACAAATGATCTTTTTATAGCTTCACCTTAACTGAAGATATCTCCACCTAAAATAAAACACTATGATGAACTTGAGAAACACCCTAACGGACTTAAAAAGCCACCTACAGACGCTTTACGCCCAATCATTCCGGATAACGCTTGCATCCTCTGTATTACCGCGGCTGCTGGCGGTGGGAGCAGTGGTGTCTCTTATTTGGGGTGAGCCACGGGTTGCTGCAATTTATCACAATCAACAAGTTTAGAGTTTCTTCATGAGAAAAAGGGTGGGAGGGCTTATGTATAAAACATATGGGTAAATGTACGTGTTTTGAGTGGGGTGTATAAAACATGTGGTAAATGTTGCATATTTCCAGTGAGCTGTATAAACATGTGGGTAGAGATGTTGTGTGTTTCGAATGGAGGTATATTGATAGTGCTGAAATGAATCAATTCAAAGTCGTCAATCTTATCTTTTTGACTAAGCTGCTCAAACTTTCATTTTCTTCTGATAGTTTTCTGTTCTACTCTTCCACGCTTCTTCTCCATTTGCAAATTTTTTTTTACTCACTCTCTTTTTTTCTTCATGCTGTGTTGTATTTGTGTGTATGTAAATGTACTTGTGGATTGTCAAATCATCTTGCAGGTAATCTTATGCCAAGTAACGTTATAAACATGACAACCCCTCGCGATTAAGGTGACAAAATCAGATTGTGTCAAGTAACATCGTAACGCTGGCATGCGAGTAACGTGACAACCCCTCGCAATTAAGTTCACAAAACACGTTATATATATATATATATATATATATATATATATATAATAAAGACGTGTATTTTCGAATCAAAATGGTGGCATGGGAGTAACGTTACAATCCCTTGCGATCAGGCCGGTCCTGGGCAAGGCGACCAAGGCGGTCGTCTAGGGTCTCCAATTTGGAAAGGTCTCAAATTTAATACTACCATAATGTAATATAGTAGTATATGTATGAAATATTATTATTTTTCATAATTGAACGTAATTAGCCTTTTAATCCATTAAAAGGCATCCATTTTAGGCCATAATTTGCATAATTAAAAGACAATACACAATCATATATCATGTAAATTTATGACAATAAATAACTTTAAAAAAAAAATTATGACAATAAAAAGGTACTCAATTATAATATCAATTTATATATGTAATTCAATAATTTATATGGTAAAATAATTTGTTTCTATCCCTTTCCTTCAAAAGAAAGGATTTTTTATATTTAAACAAGAAACTGATTTATTTTATTATTATATTAGTTCTGGGCTCATGTGCATGCATGATAGTTAAATCCAGTTCCAACAACCGTCAAAATTTTAAGTTAGCCTAGTTCAAACAACAAAATTATGATCGTGATTGGAGTACTCTAATTTATAAATTTGCATCTCAAAATATAAGACGAAGTTGAATTTTGATTTTTGTTACTAAGTTCTGTTGAATATTTTTAAATTTTTTAATCTAAATTGGATTGTGCTCTTTATAAAGCACAAAGATCAATTTTTGATTCGTGTGTTTTCAACTTTTATATATTTTATGTGCTTATCGTGTGATTTTAATGAAACCTTATGTATAAAGGTCTCGCATTTGAAAATTCGTCTAGAGACTCTCAAAATTTTTGAATTCTCATAAGTAGCCTGCTCGCAATTAAGGTGACAAAAACATGCCTTAATTTTTTTAAAAAAGAAAAACAGCAGTTATACTCATAGGAAAAAAATTTCAACATGGCATGACAACACAGTTACACAGACATTTTACCCTTGCAATATGGGGAAAAAATTTCAATGCCCTTTTGCTAAAAAATTCTTCATGGCTATTGTTGCACTTATACAACGAGCACATTTAATCGTTCATTAACATATGTGTATTACAAGCATGGATGTATAATACCATATGCTCTCATACAATTAACATGACAGCACATACATTATACCCTCGCGGCATGGGAAAAAATATTCATTAGCTGTTAATACTTATAATACGTTCCAAAGAATGTGACTCCTCGCCATCCTCTCTAATGCACGTAACCCAAAGATAAGATGGTCTTTATATTTTTTCACCTAAATATCAACCTATTTAATTTTTTTTTATAAAACTCTCCTCTCTTCTAAATTCTTCTTCAATCTACCAACTCATTCTGAGTCGCCTAGCCAACGACGAAGCCACGATTTTGTTTCAAGGGGCAATAAAACATTATATATATATATATATATATATATATATATATATATATATATATTTCCAATTAATAATGCAGCAAGCCAACAAAACGAAAAATAAAAGTTTAGTAATGGGGGAGTAATCAAAATTCATCTAGTTTGTGATATCTGAAGGAAAAAATTACTCTAAAAAAATTCAAATATAAAAAATACAGACATTAAGAATCTTTTTGACAACATTTTCTATTTTTGCATTTTTAATTTTTATGAAAAGGAAAGAGTAATGTTTATTATTATTATTATTATTATTATTATTGTCGTGTGAATTATTTTGAAACAAAAACATATTGGTAACTAATTTGTTGCACAATGTTTTATTTAAAAAAAATGTTTGAATTATTTTTTTTAAATGGTATTTATAGTTTATATATTTAAAAAAAAATCTCATTACAGTCGTTCAAATGCAACATTATGCAAATCGTTACAAAATGTTATTAAATGTGTTTTTCATGACTTATTTATTATTTTCACCAATTTTCCAACAAAAACACAAAACAAAAAACGAGTTCCAGACAAGCCCTAATGGTATAAAATTAGGGTAATAAATTAAAAGAATAATGAAAAAAAATAAAAAGAGAGAAAATAAGGTTATTGCACATACACCATACACATGGTGCAACAAAAAGAAAATTTAAAAAATGAAAAACAAAGAAGAAGGAAATAGAAAGAAAAAATATATATATATGAGAGAACTTTGAAGGGGAAAACTTAGGATTTGATTGATGAAAGGGACTACAATATTTTTTGGAAAAAGAAAAAAAGATGAGTAAGAAGAAGAATAAAGACAAAATTAAAGATTTTTGTGCCCTTATTTGGAATAACAAAAAGGGTAGATAGGATAAGAATAACATCAGTTCGATGCAACTTCCTACCTCTTCTAATGATTCTTTAAAAAACAAGCTATTGATCCGTTGTTGCATTACCGTACTGATTCCATAAAAGAGTTGTTTTAAGGTCTCTTTTTTTAATTTCAAAACTGCAAGCCCTTATTTGGAATAACAAAAGGGGTAGATAGGAGGCATGCAATATTGTCGCGGGTGGTTCCTGTAAAAGTGAACCTTTAAGTTGTCACGCATCCAGGAGAAGAAACAGAGAAACAAAAGGGAACATCTCAAGCTTCTTTCTTTTGAAGTGGTGACGATTTTTGCATATACAAGCAAAGAAATAAGTAGGGTTCTTCACTGCAAAGAATAACACAACCTCAATGCTTATGCAACTACTGCTTCATCTGATTAACAATGCTTCACTTTGCGCAAGCAGGCTGGGCATGGAAATTTCAACCTATCTAATCTTCAGCTCCCTAATCATCATGATGATATTGATAGTAGACAAACCAAAAGAAGCAGAGATGGATTTGCCTCCTCTTCCATGTTGATTCATCAAGATCCCATTGCCATTAGCCTTTAATATCTCTCGGGGACTTTGGAAACTGATTTCAACTGCGAAATGGTTGTTGGTTTTCGAAAGGCAGTTCAATGAGTGTTGCATTGCCATAAAACTCTTCCAAGTTGTAGAAAGCTCGCTGTGGAGGGAGAAATATGTGGACCACTACATCACCTGAAATCAGATTGAAAAATAAACAGTTCTTATATTAAAACATACATAGAACTACCGAGTGTCCTTCCCGGGAACACCATTGGTACTGGATTCGATAATAGTATATGGCACAGTTTCAAATTTGAGCCACTCAAGCATCACAGATGGCTGTCACATACGTTAAGGCCACTTCAAGTGGTTTCATTCAAACAAGGATACAACTGACGATCACAGCAGAAGTCAGCACTTCATTTTCCCTTTTTTTTCTTCCCAAAATAAATCTATAATTGAGTGTGTGAGCATATTATCAAATAACAACACTTACCAAAGTCCAATAAGGTCCAGGAGTTGGGTTTTGAGTCCCCAGATGCAACTTTTCCATATTTTTCCTCAGCTAGATCTCTTATTTTGGACCTATATCAGAAATAGATTCAGCATTGTTGAAAGCGCTAACGTATAGCAAATGCACCCATCCAATTTAACAAAGATCATGAAGTTAGAATAGTAATCCGTACCCAATAGCATCAATCTGAGGGCGTGAAAATGCAGTGGCAATGATAAAAAACCGAGTCCAATATACTAAAGGCTTCACAAAGAGGACCTTAATGTCTGCAGCCTTCACATCACTTGCAACCTTAGCCGCTGCCACAGCAACTACGCAAGTTGCACAAAAACATCGACACAATAAGCTTAACTTTTATAAAGGTCTCTTGAGCTCCCTATTAAGCTTAACTTTTTCTAGTAGGCGTCAAATTTTACAAGTACAGTACTTGTTTAGGAAGTAAAAGAGAAATAAATAGGAAATAACATGTACAAGACACAATAAGTTTATAAAGAATACTAAAAACACATCATGGGTTTCCTACAAAAGAAAGCAGAGATTTCAGAAACCATGAAAAACCATAAATTTTAAATAGAGGAATTTGACACTAAATGTCATGTTAGACTCATTATTTTATATATATATTTTTATAGGTATACATTACATGCCACACGTGCACACATCATGCTGCCCCTTGTGGGGCTCGAACCACTCACCTCTAGGGCTGCAAACGCGAACGGCTCGGGCTTGGCTCGTGAATTACTCGGCTCGATTCATAAACGAACCGAGTCTGACCATCAGTAGGCTCGATTCGTTTGTTCATGAACCGTTCACGAACTGAGCTTGATAAAGCATTTGCGAACATACTCGATTATAATATATATACACACACACACACACACATATCCAATTATAATATGTAATTTTATGTTATGAAGGCTTAGTCCATGGGCCATTAAATTTTTTAGTCCTTTTTGTTTTAGACCCAATTTTATCATTTATTCATTTTAAAACAAAAACCAAGTCTATATGTACAATCAAACCCAAGCCCATGTCTTATGTCTAATCCTAATCATCTCCCTTTTTTCTAAAATTATCAGCAGCCCAAGCAGCAGCGGCAACACACTCATCAATCTACTTTATTATGTTATGGAATCTTACTTCTCTCCCTTTCTCTTCTTATATTTTATCATCTCATCAAGCAGCAGCGACAACACACTTATGTATTAATCGTCTTTCATCCAAACTGATTTTTAGTATAGATTTTGGGGTTTACTATTTAATCTGTGCATCTCTCAACTTCTTCCATCAAAATCAACTCTGGTAAGTTTAATTTTCGATCAAATTTATCACTTCCTTTCTCTTTTTCTCTCAAACTTCTCTCTTTTTCTTTTAAACTTCTCTCTTTTTATTGCTGCAAATCTATTTCTCTCTCAATTTACTTTTTTTTTTTTATTTATTTTTTATTTTTTATTTTTCCAAATCTGTTTGATGCGAAGTACCACCAAAAAAAAAAAAGAGAGCTATTGAGCTAGGCTTGAGGCTCGTCGAACATAGCCGAGCCGAGCTTGAACCAAATTTTCTCGGCTTGGCTCGGCTCGAGCTCAAGCCGAGCTTGAACATTCTATCACCTGATCGAGCCGAGCTCGAGCACACCATTACTTGGCTCAGCTCAGCTCAACTCGGCTCATTTGCAGCCCTACTCACCTCCCCTTTGGGGAGGAGAGCTTATACCACCTGGCCAATGGCCTGGTGGTAGACTCATCCATTTTTTTATCTTTCAGCATCGAGCATAAAATTGTAAAAGTAGAGTAATGTGGAGTACCATAATCTTATCTCAATGTTGAATATAATGAAAGAGAAGTAGCCCTTGGGCTTTGTGAGCCATGGATGTAGGTCGTAGTGGCAGAATAACGTTATACCCTACACTAAACACGTTCGGGTCTCCTTGTCTCGCTCCAATTATGTGGACAGATCTACTCGTCTCGGATATCAATATTGTTGGTTATTTGCCACAGTCTGATCAAGTGTTTGGGGTCGTGCTTCACTCTTGCAGACTCAAGTATAGTTCATTCAACAACAATTTGTCTCGACAACTTCATATTTATTTTCAAGTTGGTACACTTGAGTTAAAATCTTTGTGTACAAACTTGAGGGGGAGTGTTAAAGACTATCACTTAAAGAGTAAATTAAGCCTTTGATAGAATATTGATTGGAGTTATTCATGGGATTTATTTTAGGGATCCACCATCAATATATTTTTCATATTTATCACATATTTGTATTCTTTCACCTACAAATAGAGATGATCATTGTAAACAAAATTAAAAGAGAATATAATGAAAGAGAAGTAGCACTTTGGGTATTGTGTACCGTGGATATAGGCTGTCGGAGCCGAACCACGTTATATTCCTATGTTGTTCATTTTCAATTTCTTTCTTCAATTTTATTTCTTCTTAACACTGAAAGATAGCATAGTAAGCATAGTAATTCACACATTTTGTTCGCATGTCATGAGAAATTAAAATTCCCTTGTTTCACCTTATTTTCCCCCATAGCATTTAAAAGTAGTGCATATTATTCATATAACAATTGGATATGGGGAGTATTTAAAGATCTCAAGAATTTGAACTTTCTCATCAATGCATTCCACATAATAACTTGGCCCTAAAATGCTATAGAAAAAAGAAAAGAAAAGATATCTTGCATGACTTTTCCCTCATACCATTTAAAAATAGATATCAATTGGAGATTGAGAGAGTATTTCAAGATCTCCAGAAATTATTTGAACTTTCTTACCAATGCATTCCACATAATAACTTTGTCGTCAAATGATATAGGAAAAAAGGTTGACTAGCATGATTTTCTGTAAGGTTTTCAGTTGGACAGTTGGCCATCAAACTCAAGCTGTAAAGGAAAAACCTAACCATTTTTGTATCAGGGAGAATTCCTTTAGCCACTGGAAAGATTCGTGTTCCAAAGGTTTTGAGACATCTGATCAAATGAGGTTCCATGCAGGTTGTCAACCCAGCATAACCCTCCCTCTTTTGTAGAGGGAATAGAAACATCAGCATAAGGATATAAAAATGGTCCAACAGAAGATAACAAACATCATATAATAGTAAGCATGATATTTGCAGAGTTGCATTATTAATAATAGAAAGAAGCATGTCATCAGCAACAACAACAATAATTCAAGGCCATTACCAAGAGTACGTGTAGGAGCAGTATAATAATAATTTATTAATAATATTAACAACAATAATAACAGAAAAGTAGATTCATAACAGTAAGATGTGCATAGCACTATCATCTTGGAAGGCAAAAGAGAAAAATGAAAACATAGATAACAGATATCATCCAAAACAAGACAGAATCCAAATATAATGAGAGGAGGAAGATAAACATTGTGCATTTCAACAACACTAGATAGTATATAATCCTCTTAATAACTATGAGACAAACTTACAGGACAAGCTTTCAGCATCATCAGCAACCTCTGCACTTGAAGGCTTTTGGTCATTTCTGGTAAAGATCACTTTTCCATATCTTTCAAATAAGTTATCGAACATATCATCAGTATCTTCACTTAAATTCTGCAAATTATACCACTCACGTTAACAACTTAGACAACACTCCGTTGGAAAAAGAAAAAAACCAAATAACATGAAAATGATTATGGACACCACGAATGCTTTAAAAACAATTTATGGACAGCAAAAGGCTATACGCAATATTTTTTTTTGATAAATAATAATTGATTAAAAAGCGTTCAAAAGGGGAACGCGTCCCTTATACAAAAGCGGAACCGGGATCTAAGGACCCAGAGAATCCAACGATTAACTAAGTCATCGGGAGAGGAGCAAGAACTTCTCTTCACGTAACTAAAGATAGAGCGAATAATATGAAGTTTCAGCGTTGCCATGACGACTCCTTCCCTTCGAACATTTTGATGTTCCTCTCCTTCCAAATGCACCACCAAACGCAATGTGAAATTGTCCTCCAATAGTCACGTACGCTACTTCTCACGCGACATCCCCTCCACAAGTTAATCAGACCCTTAGAAGATCGCTGCATGCCCCCTCCCTGAAAAGGCTGTACGCAATATAAAAACGCCTTTCTTTTAAGTGAAATTCCTCTCCTCATTATCCAAAGTTAGCGGGCGAAACGAGGGTTTTTGTCAGGGTCAGAGAGTCCCCAATTGCTTTGTTGTTGTAACTGAATTGCAAAATTCTCTATAAACCAAATCATTTATATTCAGTAAAAGATAATACCCAAAACCACATGTTGGGGTAAGGCTGCGTACATTTGACCTTCCTTAGACCCCGTAATGGCTGGAGCCTTGTGCACTGGGCTAGACCATTAAAAGAGTTCTTAGATTAGGAATTGAGTTCTTGTGAAAGAAAAGAGAGATTCACTATATGTAGTATACTTGTAGAGAGAATGAGAGAGATTCTGAATGCCCATACTTGTAGTTAAAGAACATTTGGATAGAGAAATCAGTTGGATTTATCCCCCGAATAAAAAATTTTCTTGTGTCTATTTCAAATACCAACTGGGAAGGGTTGTGTCTATATTAGATTCAAATTGTCATCTCGGACCCCATATGTACATCTTTTCCAAAAAAATTATCAGTTTCAAAATTAATTTGAAAATATCTATTCTTATATTTATGTTCTTATTATTATTTCTATACTTATATTTATGTTATTACTATTATTTTTTCTTTTGGAAGTTAAATATTTATGTTATTTCTTCAGCACCTTCAAACCAAAAAAAGAATGTGTACGTATGAAAGATGCAGATCCCCTTAGTATACATAAACCGATGCAATAATACAGTTTATTAAACATAATTAATGAAAAAGCACTATTGCCTGCAAAAAATGCACATCAGGGCAACATATAGATTGCCTAAACATGGAGATTTCAATAAGGATGATTGTTTTAGAGTTAGCGTACTTCTCATCCATTTCTGTTACACATAAAATAAGTACTGGAACTGCAGAACCTCACCCCGTGCATGCGAAGGCACGTGGTAGGAAGAACTTGTAAAAAAGGGAATTTCATGTCAAATTTCTAAAAAAGGGAAATGGAATGGAAATATTTACTATCCATACCAAACATAAATTAAATGATTCATTTATGCTGCGTTTGATGTGCAGGAATGGAATGGAATGGAATGCACATTCCAACCATTCCTTTGTTTGATATGCAATTTAAAGTGGGAATGGTCATTCCATTGGAATGAAACTATCCATACCAAACATAATTAGAGTCCTATGAAATGCAAATTCAATCTATACGAAAATAACTGGAAAGAATCATTTTCTATAGAATGACCAAGTGTCCTACCAGTCTAACCAAAAGATCAATTCCCTCAGGATTCAATGATAACTTAAGCGGTCTAGTTTCCAGTGTTAATGTGAAGGATTCAAGAAGAGCATTATAAACGTCTCATACATTTTATTAAATGAAGAATCTGGGTTTGCATCCTGTATCAATTTGATAAAACGGGAAAGAAATTGACAGAATTAATATGAAGAGAAAAAAATACAGTGCAGCAATTCTACTGACATTTGCTGAACTTTGGCCAAATTATTAAATCATACTGAATGTTCAAAAGTGAGCTAAAATTTTGAAAAATTCGAAAATGACAAACTCTGGCACAGTTATACACACAAATATAAATTGCTATCTCACTTATCAAATAACTGACAACAACAACAACATCAACAACAACAATTGAGAACCAGGAGATCTCACTGCTCACTTGTAGTCACGAGGACGACACAGCGTAAAAAAATTGGATCCTTATACAATTATGAAATCCCAAATTTCAGTTTTACTGCCCACGTTTTTTTCCCACAAATGCAAGGAAAGGAATTTCAAATCAAAAGCTCTAAACCCTAAAGTCATGAATCCAAAATTAAAATTTCTACACACTACAGAAAACCACAAAGTCTAAACTTAACCCCAAATCCTAACTGAGAAATTATGCAACAACAATGGAAAAAAGAAAAACTAATGAGTGCTTTACACAATGCCAATTTCAACATTACATGTTCAGTAACTACAAAAAGTTAATCTAAATGATTTACTTATTAAAAAAAAAAAAAAAAAAAAAAAGTTAATCTAAATGATTCAAAAGTATTGGGACTAAGTCAGCTAGAATAACACAAAATCAATAACAACAGCTACATACGCATATAAATATATATATATGAAGAAGTGCAAGTTGATACCGAGCCAAGAGCCATCCGAGAAGACATCGAAGAGTCCCTCAAAGACCGCGAAACATTTCTGGTTCTCAGAGAAACATTGAATACTCCACGACCCAGATGCCGGAGTTCGCCGGAAATTCGATTTCCAGCATGAATCCCGGCGAAGGAAACATGAGGAAGAGAGCCGGAAACGATGATAGAGACGGTAGAGTACACTTCCATTGCTTTGTTAGAACAATACCCTTTGAGATTTTTTTTTTTATGCAGTACAGAGAGAGGATGGATGTGTTATCCACTGGTACTTGGAGTGGTGCGGGTATGAATCTGATTTGATTTTCAGTTCGCCCCGGTAAAATGGGTTTGCCTCCGGGTTCTACCCGACTCGATGCACTTACTTTTATTTTCCCTATCAATGTCATTTGAAAGGGTTACGATTCATGCACCTTTCAAAAATTGGTAAATTCACACAATTAGGAGAATGATGAATGTTTATTGGATAGGTATATCAACGTCCATTCAATATCTTATATTATTATTAAAATATGGAGGTTGATCCGGATGAAAATAAAATTCAACCTTTAAAAAGAAAAATTTTGTAACTTGCTATCCTCTCGCTTAGGAGACCCAATTTTTATTTTTTATTTTTAAAGATAAAGAAAAAAATACTATGTTCTTCTCTTTTCAATTTAACTCCCCTTGACAACTAAAATAATAGAGAATTGTTTTAAAAATTGTTTGACACGGAGAGAATTGTTGTACTATATATAAAAATATATATGAATGGGTCTCTCTCTCGTGGGCTTCACTTAAGAAAATTGCTTTTTGAAGCCCAAAAGTGTTGGACTATATATGCAAGCATTAGGGTTTGGCTCCATACGCTCTATCTATATATATATATATATATCAAATCTCATTCTTCCCTAGAGTCTAGGGTTTTAGTTCGGCCGCCGAGAGACGGGAGAGAGAGAAAGCAGAGCACCATGGTGAAGTTTCTCAAGCCCAACAAAGCTGTGATTGTCCTCCAAGGCCGATTCGCCGGCCGGAAGGCAGTGATTGTTCGGTCCTTTGACGATGGCACACGCGATCGCCCCTACGGGCACTGCCTGGTGGCCGGAATCGCCAAGTACCCGAAGAAGGTGATTCGCAAGGACTCGGCCAAGAAGACCGCCAAGAAGTCGCGCGTGAAGGCATTCATCAAGCTCGTGAACTACAACCACATCATGCCCACTCGCTACACTCTCGACGTCGATCTCAAGGATGTGGTCAGTGCTGATGCGCTCCAGTCCCGTGACAAGAAGGTCACCGCCGCCAAGGAGATCAAGTCCAGATTTGAGGAGCGCTTCAAGACCGGCAAGAACAGGTGGTTCTTTTCCAAGCTTCGATTTTGAGCGCTATGGGTTGGTTTGTTTCTATCCGCGTTCTGTTTCTTATCGTATGTAGTTATGGCACATTTCAGTTAAATTTGAATTTGGAGATTTTGTTGGATTATTTTTGGTGATGAACTATAATATGTCGTTTGAATTTTTCCTATTTCTAGAAATATGAATTTGAGATATCACTTATTATGATAGAAAATGGTTTGATGTAGCTTATTGATTTATGGGATAAGGATTTCATGATCTCTTTTGATGTTGAAGTTCAAAAATTAAAAAAAAATTCTACATATGATACATGCTGAACGTATACACCTACCTAATACACACATAGATATATGCATATATATGGGGTGTAGAGGAGAATTAGTTTGTGGTTTGCAGTTGAGTTGCCTTTTAACATTATGAAGAAGTATATGAACGCTACGATATGTAGTGTGCAATGGACTAGTTTGGAATTATGGATAAAATATAGGTACTGAGATAGTTTTTGCTGATTGTTGGATTAAGTTTGTGGGAATTCTTTTTGATGGTGATTATCTCTTGATCAATCCCTCCTCTATGTGTAGGGAAATGTTTATTTGAAGGATATTTCAACAATCCTATTTTTGATATGAGATTTGGAACTTGAAGTAGGGTAAAACAAGTATGGATTTAGAAATATGCTTAAAATATTAGAATTGAATGTACTGACATAGTTTTTGATTTTGTAGGGAGCATCAAAACAACACTCAAAAAAAAAAAAAACCTCTTGTCCAATTGATTTTTTGTTGTTATTTGTTATTCTGCCTTATTCATTTTCTTTCATCTCACATTGCTGCAATTATGGCGTTCATCGTACATAGGTATTTCGCTTTGATTTTATATATTACTATTTTACGTACTTGAGTGCCTTGACACTCGTCTATTTCGCATTTGGGGACACTCAGTTTATGAATATGTAGTTCATAAACATTGAACATTGTGTCTCATAAAGTATAGCTGGTCTAGTGGATTGTCTTATATAATTTATTTTTAATATTTAAAAGTAGCTGTTCGAAACAGAATATGTTAGCACTCCCATTAATTAATCTTGTTTTAATTCTGCTATTAACATTCTGGCTCTTTGTTAATACTCGAGATAGTGTAACATAAATGTTTGCTTTTTTGGTATCCTTTGATTTCACTAAAGCTAAAGCTATTTTTTATATGGCAAAAATGTAAACAAAAAAACCCTTCCAACTATTTCACATTTGTGAATGAGCCCCTGCACTATCAATTGGCAAATAGTACACTGCATTATGTAAGACACTCCAAATTGCCTCCTGCCTTATTTAAATGGGTTATATTTTGACCAGTATGCCTTATTTCAAACCAAATTACTCGTAAAGGAAAATTATTTGGGTTATTTCAAATTAGATCCTAGGGTCTTAACTCAAAGTTGAATACATCTTTAATTTATTATCAATTTTCAACTATTTTTTTCATACACAAATTATTAAGAATAGCAATGTAATTTCATCAATGGAGAAAAGGAACTGTATTTTTATTTATTATTATTATTTTTAATAGTTTAGGGTTTTATTTTTGAAGTTCAGGGGGTTAGTTAGTTGTAAATGCAGAATAATTCAAGGAGGATTTTTGCCTTTTTAAGCCTTTTTCATATAAATTGTTTGTCTTCATCTTAAATAATTTGGATTCTAAAGCCTTCTGTTCATATCTTTAATTTATGACTGTTACTAGTTTCATTAATTAAAATATTATCCCCAGCAACGAGGATACGCACTTTCTTGTCAGCATCATCCTACTCATCCATAGCATCCTTTGGCTGATCCTTTGCCTGCTTAGTGCAACCCTCTATTCCATTATCCAGGCCTTAATTTACTCAAATTTCAACTCAATTGAAATGCCAATACTTGCTGGTATATCTTCTTCCTGAATATCTTTTATAAACTGTATGTTTTGGATCCGAGATCAAATTAGCAGCATTATCTGTATAATCATCTGTCAAGAGACAGAACAAAGTGAAAAGCAATGAAAGTTGGGATTTAAGGTTGAAGAGATGGAACAAAGTGAAAAACAATGATAGTTGGGATTTAAGGTTGTAGCTACATGGTATGACTAAATATAGATTTGTTTTAATCCCCTTATGTCATTAAGTCATTTTGGCATTTATGAATTTTTGACTTGGTTGTGTAAATTTACTCACATCCTCAACATCACAATGATGGCATACAGTATTTGCAAACATGGTGATGGTTGAGGGTGTTGTCTATTTGTTCAGGGGAGTTTTTCACATAGGGTGATGGTTCAGTTTTTTTCTAACCCTATTATCTATTGTCGAACTAGTTAGGAACCGTCATAATGTAATGTAAATCCTGGTTAATCTGTGTACTTTTTTTACAACTATTCTCCATGCTTGTTCCTAGATATTTAAGATAGCCTGGTCAATGTGAGCTGTTTAGGTGTATGCGGTTTAGTTCTTGGGTGGGGAATCTACAATGTTCTGTTTTACAGAAGAAATCATACACAGACTTGTTCTTCTTCCTGTTTCTTGTCAGATATATCATATATAACTAATTATTTTCAAGAAAAAGAAATGCTACAAAATATACTAAATTTTATTTTTCAAGAAAAAGATGTGAAACAGGAACAGATTTTTGCAAGAAATAATCTACAGAGTAAAACAGAATCAAGAATTTTTTTTACTGAGGCATTAATGCAATTAGCTTATAATACAGTTATACAATGACATACATACAGTTCATTATTTCAAAAGCCTTATCTAAATTAGTAGAGGTTGAAGAAGAGAGGCTGAAGATGAGATATCACTGTCTGTAAGTGAAAGAATCATTTTGTGCCCTAAAAGGGGGTCTCTCTTGGCTCTGTCGTAAATTAATTTTCATTGATTTGATGGCTGATGCTTTTGCTTCTAAGGAAACACAATATGGGTTGCTCTCACTTTCAAGCTAAGCTGCAAACAACCTTCAGTCTAATCCACCCACTTGACAATGAATGCTAGTTTTGTAATTGATACTTTTGGTTACCAGTTTATTTAAGAAAATGATTACCCTTGTCTTTGACAAGCTTTTCACGGAGGGCAATGTGTCCTTAGTGAGACTCGAACTCTCAAGTTTCTTATCGAGGAGGAGTATACCATCAGACCTTCGGGATGCCAATGTAGATATGGTTTTTATATATAACAATACTTGATGAATATAAACATGTATTGTTATACTTGATGATAAAAATAAGAAAGGTAATCAACAAGCCCGTGGTGTAGCGGTACAAGACTCCTACTTTTCAAAAGGAGGTCAGAGGTTCAATTCTCGGTGGAGGCATGTGTGTGTGAGTATTAACTAAGAAGAAAAAAAAAAAAAAACAAGAAAGGTTAAGGTCATAGAATAGTTTTTCTGTGATTGTGATGTAAATTAATTCCTAATGATGTTTGGCTGAAAAGAAGATTAAAGGAAAATGCCTTTGGATTTTGAAGTGAAATGGGTGACACCAGTCGCACTATCTTGAGGCAGATTGCTATTGTGTATTTGTTACTTTAGGTCTATGATATCCCTTTTGCCATTTATGGTTTGATCTTAAGAATTGTGTTTACAAACTAGGTTGGCAACAAACTAAGTAGCCGATGCCTTCTGCCTTCTGCCTAAATTAATCACCACACTTAATTTTGGTTTAATATTTATTCGAATAAATTCAAATGCACAGTGCGTTTGAGAGTTAAAATTTAGTCAATTGAATTTCACATAAATTCGATGTTTTCATATTACATATGGTGGAGATTAATGACATACATTTAGTACCATTTCCACTTTCTCACACACGCACAACTACTAGAGAGAGATTTTGCGGGCAATCGGAGGGCACGCAGGCAAGTGGCTGTGTGGTTAGACTAATTTATAGACTCTGTGACAAAATGTGCACGTGAAAAGATTGTCGTCTTACTAATAAAAGCAGAACAGTGAGTCGAGCTTCCATTCCTGTGGGACACATTGCCCATGGGATTTAAGGAATGGACCCTCTGCATTCTGGAGTCGTGATACCGAGTTTCATAGTCGAACAATCCTGATTGTTTGACGTGAGTGGAGGTCTAATTGTCGGACTCTAAATTATTTATTTATTATTTTTTTTTTTCGACAATCGAACAATTCTGATTGTTTGACGTAAGTGTATTCTAATTATTTAATGTAAGTGTAGGTCTTGATTGTTGAACTCTAAATCATTTTTCTTTTTTCCGTTATCTTAATGACGACACTATTCCTAATATAACATTCATATTTCTACTCACGGAATTTCATGGAATTATTTCCAGAAACATGAATGGAACCTATGTGAGTACGCCACTATGTTGTTTGTGTAAAAGCCCCCACCATGAATTGGAAAAGAAGAAGATAATATGCTTTATGTCATTTGCTTTTTGGTTGCTAGTAGGTCCCAAGCACCCCCAAGCACCAGAAAACAGTGACCCTGTACCCACCTCACCCTCTCCCCTTCAGTTACACTATCCATGTGAGAGTATATATCAAGTCACCTATATATGTCACCCTCCTCTGTGAAATCCTTGTATCTCTCTCTCTCTCTCTCTCGAGTGTGTGTGTGCGTGCGTTGGAAGATGAAGAAGATCAATTTGATGCTAAGGAAGTGCAAGACCTTGTCAAGGCAACTGGGTAGGTCTTCATCATATAGTAGTCTAAGGTCCAAATCTACTAGGGAGGAAATATGGGGTGGTGATCTGCAAGATGGTGAACATTGTGAAACGATATTCGTCGGGAGCTCAAGAAAGCGATACGTGATCAGTTCAAAGTACTTGAATCATCCTCTGCTTAATGCTCTCATCCAAAGATCGAAACAGAAGTTTGGGGAGGATATCTCTGTCAAGTGTGAGGTAGTGCTCTTCGACCACCTCTTGTGGATGCTCGAAAACGCTGATCTGAACCTCACCGCAGATTCTTTGGAAGAACTGGCTGAGCTCTATGTGTTCTAAAACTCCAAGAGATCCAGCATCTTATTCTTATATATATATAGTCATGTTAGCCAGGCTGTGACTGCAGGCTCAAAAGTTGAGAGGTGTTCTCAGTCTGTTTGAATGCATTTTGGTTTCATTCTATTGAATGGTAATTTGTTTCTCCAACTCAATGGGGGTTTGAAGGATCAACAATTTGGTAAAAACCATGTACTGGTCTTTTAATATACCCTTATATATTCTTGTGATCTTGTTTACTATATAATGAGTTTTGATCTTGTTTACTATCAATTTAAAACAAATCATATACTACATACATAAGATTGAGGCGAGTCTCAGTAATTTTTTTGAACCATATAATTGTACTTGGATTTTCTAACCGGCTGTATCCTAGTAGAAGATTGAGTGTACAATGGGTGTGAGTTTTTTGTCAAGATTTAAAAAAATTAAATTAAATTAAATATTGAGTTGATAAATATATGGGGGCAATAGAAGAGTACATCTTAAAAATAATCAAGGCTAATTGCTCAAAGTTCCCTGAACTATAACTCTTGTTTGCTCTCTTGGATACAAAAATGGTAATAGTATACATTTGCGAAGGAAGTATACTATTTCATGTATAACATAAGCTAATACTCATTTCTATATGACAAAAATCACTACAGATTTAAATTATTTGAATTCTATCAAGGAAACAAAATTTGACATTTTTCTCAATCGCAATTGATTGTAGTTTAAACTTTAGAGCATTCGCACTGGACCCTTTTTGTGAGGGGCAGCCCAAATGCGCCCGCAGTGGGCTGGCGGTAATTAGGCGGGCCCACATGGGCCCACGAGCCCAAACCCAATCGGTGTATTTTATTTATTTATTATTTTTTATCTTTTTCTTTGCCAAAACGCCGTCGTTTTGGACGAAGCATATCTCAGCACTCAAGAACAGTGCGCATCATGGGTTTTTTTTGGGAAAAAAGAAAAAAGAAAAAAAATAAGTTATTTTGAGCTCATTTATTTTTAAAAAAATAAAATAAAATTCATTAAAATATATATATATTGTTTAGGCACTGTTTGTCCAATTTTTTTTTGATTTCGGTCAAAAATAAATTTAAAACTTTTTTTTCCCCCTTAAAAATTGATTTTTTTAAAAAACTTTTTTTGCTTTAAATTTTAAATTTCTGCCATAAACAGTGCATTTGGCCATTATGGCACAGTTTAGCTGACAAACATAGTGCCTTAATGGCTATAATTTAAATTAAAAAAAAAAAAAAGTTTTAAAAAATCAATTTTTTAAAATTTTTTCAAAAAAAAAAAATTAAAATTAAAAATTCATTTTCTTATTTCCATAGGATTTTGTAATCCTTAGTCTATTTATTTTCTTATTCCGATTCAGGATATTGTATTGTTTAAGTTATTTTTAATTATTTTGTTTAATTTGTTTTTTTGTCTCTTTTTTTTTTTTTTTTAATCCATAATGGATAATGTATTGTTTAAAGTTATAACATCAATCCTAAATTTTTTAATAATTTGCAAAGATATTGTTTAATTGAAAAATATTGCTGTTGAAAAACAATTTCATTATTTTTCATCTTAAAAAACCATTATATAATAAAAGTTCTAGTACACGAAATGTCAAAACATCTTAAAATCAAATAAAATGCAACATAAATTAAACGTCTTCATCACCATAGTAGTTTCACAAATTTTCTATCAAATCATTCCTCAACCGCGTATTTGTCTCTCTGCTGCGAATATGAAGTTGGCGAGAGAATATGTGTGCCGTTAAAACCGATGGCCATTGACTTAAAGTGGGAATTAGGATTGCTTACTCCGGTGACAGAGTGTAACGACCTGGACCCGTAGGTCCGAATCGTTAACTAGGTCCTTACCCGAATCCGAGGTCAACTAAGTCATACCATCCATTTCCTATGTCCATAACCGCCACACGAATCAATCTAGGGTCCAATATACTCCAAGGACACTACTTTACAAGGATGGTCAAATTTATAAGTTAAAGGGAAAGAATTAGCCGGCTGAAAGCCCTTGGTCGGTTGGCTAACTAGGCAGGGTTGATCGACTGACCTACATGGTCGGCCGGCTGAAACGGTTTTGAAACATGCATGCTCTCGGGACTTTCCAAAATAGCCTGTTGGTCGACTGGTGAAGGGGGTTCGATCGGCCGAACCTGGGGTTTCAGTCGGCTAATGGTGAGGTTTAGCCGGTCGAAACAAGACTCCTCATAATCTAGCTCTCTGGAATGGTTCCTGATTATACTCATTTCAGGCCAAACTATGCTGGACCTATTGTGCAATCAAATTCTGAATTCACGGTAATAGTTTATAGTGTAATGCCGTTAGAAAGGCATCTATAATTAGTCAAAACATAACTTCATTTCCCATTTTCATTATGAGGTATTTACATAGTCTAACTCCATTTTAAAATACTGTTAAGTGTTATAGTTACAATACATGGCCATGGCTTGCTAAATGAATATACTTTAATATGGTTTGAGACTTTACAAAAGAATGACAATTACACAAAAGATGACAAAAAAAGATTTCTAGTCCTCCTCATGCTTGTGAAAGGTCAGCGTCCACCACTTCCTTTTCCCGTTTTGAAAAATGTTCAATATAATGGGGTGAGCAAATTGCTCAGTAAGTGGTGCCTAAGACACACCTCTTGTGACCCTGTGAATCCAAACAATGAGTAGAACAATAGGGAACGGGATCATGCTAAGTCGGGAAAAAATATAATACAAGCTCAAGTCATAATGAAACAATTTCATACCATGAAATGCGATGCCATGTATGTCGCTCCCCAGTTTCAAAATCCAAATCCATCACTTTCGAAACTATTAATATAACCCGTCCATTGGTGACTCCGCAGCAACACGAGAGAAGGATTGACTACTGTCCCTAACCCTTGGTACCTCCGCGGCGTCATTTGGGGCCCAGATAGCTCAACCACGCTAGGGTAATTCCCCTAATTCCCTCTAGGTTACATTAACACCACGGCCCTTTGGTAACTCCGCGGTGACCGGGTTTTTCATAAAATTACTTTAATCAAAACTTTTCCCCAAAATCTCTTTTTCATTTGCTTCAAATCATTTCTCTTCATTCATACCCTATAATGTGCATGTATGTCTCATGCTTTCAATGCTATGGCAATAAGGGATTTTCGTACTACACAAATAAGCATGCCTTATAAAAAATTCTAAAAAAATTACATATACTTTCATATATCATTTCTAGCAAGTTAACAACACAATAGGCATAGAAAATCAACACTTAGGCATGCTTTTCATACAAATCAACTAATATATATAATTATGAACTTTACAAACCACAATTAAATCATTTTAGGGGTAACTAACACCAATTAAACATGTTAGCAACAATTAACAAGGAATTGACTCACAAAGGCACAAGAAAACATGAATTAGAGACCCCTACCTCAAGAATTGCAAAAACACCCAAATTTGTGCCCTAGATCTCGAATTTTCTAGAATGCACCAAATAAGGAATTGCTCCGATCAAATCGTAGATCTCGCCGTGATCTTTAATTTGCCGCAAACAGCTTTCAAAAATACCAAGAATTGAGGGAGAAATCAAAACTTGAAGTTTTGATGCAAAAAGAAAAAGAAAATGAGGGAAAGAGAGAACCTGCGGGGAGGGAGAGAGAATGAGACCAAATTGTGGTCTCTTGGCCATCAAATAAGCTAGTGGTGGGTCCTACCACTTCCTCTAATCTTTTCCTTTTTAATTTTATTTTCAATTCTTATTTTGCACCACACAATTAAATATACATACACACTTAATAATCCACAACCACATATAACACATTAAATAAAAATGTATGTGATGCAAATGGACCAAACCAAAATTCCCGTATGTAACAATTCCGGTAGCCGGTCCTACACGGGATCGTCAAACGAAAAAATGCAAAAATGACAAACGTTACATTTCAAAGAGTCCTGAACTCAATGAAATGCCCCAACCAACTCTCGGACACAACCGGCACACTCTACAGTGTCTGATAAGCAAAACAGCAAAAGACGAAAATGCCCTTGCAACGACAAAAATTCCAGAAAAATGAAAAATGGCAAAAAATAGAAACATCACACGGAGTCCATCTTCTAACATTTGTATGACGCTCATCTTCAATGATTATATTGTGAAGGATGATGTATGTTTTCATTATGAGGCGCAAGTCACTTTTCTCCTAGTAACGCACTTGTCCCTGCGTTATTGCTCACTTGATCTGTAATACCCCAAAAGCCCGCTCCACATCTTTCCTGCATGCCTCTTGTCGTTGAGCAAATAATTTTTCTTTTCCAGTGGTTGGGCGCGGGATGGTCTGTATCAAAGTTACCCACTTAGAGTATATACCATCAGACATGTAATACCCCATTCTATATTGATATTTATTCACCACATAATTAGTCGGAGATAATTGGTCATTGACGATATCGTTGAATACTAGGGAATGATCCAACACATTTATATCATTGTGTGAATTGGCATTCCAAAGAATGCATGCCAGATCCACAAATCTTGTGAGACAACTGCTTCCAATATGAAAGTATTCTTACTAGAGTTTCCTCTGTGTGTGCAATGCAACTCCACTGGGCAATTCTTGTTGGGTTTTATTTCAATAATTCATGTAGAAATCAAATATACTGTAATTAATTAAAGAGTAATTTAGACTCATACCTGATTGATGATTACGCACATATACCTTTAGAATGTCCATGTAATCCTCTGCAAAACACATTAGAGCGCTTTACCCCCTTCTGAGAGTTGTCAATACGATAGGACTGAATAAGGGTTTTAAAACCCCTATATATAACAACAACAGAGGGGACGACTTCTCTACAAACAAGCATACCTAAATCCCCCTTCCTATCATGGAAACTTAGATGTCAATGGTTAGAAATAAATCACACCAAATAAGTTGGAAAATCACAATCCAACGGTATAAAATCATACTCTCAATTAGACCACCAAATTGGAAAGTACAAACCAAATCCATTAAGTATCAATAATCACATTGCAATCCTACTTTAGAAAACGTAGTGCATAGGACCATAAAATAATTTTTATTATATATATATATATATATATATATATATAAAAATTCCAACAATTCTTCCACTCTCAGTTCATATAGTCGATAGAACCAAGCATACCCGGGAATTCTCTCTGCTTCCCTTCTTGAAGCAACCGTGTTATGTTGGTTTCGTTGGGTAGGCGCATATACTCCTCTGCATACACAACAATAATAACATTACAAAATGCTTTCAAGCATTTAATGGTAGTGCTCTCGCCGATTTTAATATACTCATCATAGTGATTGGCTGC